TATATATTTTTTTTTGGTTTTTCGAGACAGGGTTTCTCTGTGTAGCTTTGCGCCTTTCCTGGGATTCGCTTTGTAGCCCAGGCTGGCTTCGAACTCACAGAGATCCACCTGGCTCTGCCTCCCGAGTGCTGGGACTAAAGGCGTGCGCCACCACCGCCCGGCCTCAATATATTTCAATGTATATAGTTGAGATGAAATTCTCTCACCTGGGCTGACAGAGCTCCCTCCAAGAGCCACAAAATGGCAGAAGTATCTTTAGGTCCACTTCCAAAGATACTTGATACTTCTGCCATTTTGTGTCCTATCAAAGACTCCAACACCAGATGTGAGAATCCCTCCTTTGAGTTGTTGGTAAGGGCTGTTCAAGAGACTCTCAAGACAAACTCGCTATTGCTATTTCTCTCGGTTGGGCTCCAGAAGCGGAAGGCACACCCCTATTGCTGAAGACACCAGGCACTTTAGGAACTCGACCCAGAGGCCCCTGAGCTGGAAATGACCTGAATGCTTTCTCCTTCCTGAGGACCAGCTTTCATAGCACCTTTGGTATTCGAAGGTACCAATCAAGCTTCCAAAGGAGGGCAGCAACCAACAGTCCTACCTAGCTATGATGCCTAATGAACCAAAACAACAACCAGCATGGCACGATAACCCTAAGGGTGCGGTAGGGGCATTTGTAAGTTGGTGGTAACTAACAACTCCCTAATTGTACTTAAGACCCCGTCAAGAAGAGGGAGCCCATGCCTGTTACTGGGAACCTAACCCACTGCCCAGGGCTAGTGACGTCATGGATTTTGGAAGAGAAACTACAACCACCACTTTACTAAACCGGCATAATCCCTATCTACACTCCAAATATTTTCCCTTACAGCGACAGATAAGTGTAGTCCTCACCCCTCATCAAGGAAACTTCTCTTTGCAACAGATGGAGACCACTACAGACAACTACAGCCAGTCAGAATGCAGAGTTGTGGAGCCCAGTCACCATGGACACACCTGGAAACAGCCCCTGCACCTGAGGCTCAGGGAACATTGCGGTAGACAGGGTTGGAAAGACTGAAGAACCAGAGTGTAGGCAGATTTTTCTGTCCTGCCAGCCAGCTCCCAAATTACGACGTGGAGACTTATTATTAACTATGAAAGCTCAGCCAACAGCTGAGGCCTGTCCCACTTACTCTTATAACTTAAATTAACCCATTTCTTTTCATCTATGTGTTGCCACATGACTCGAGGCATTTACCTATCCTCCTGAATATTTTGCTCCCTCTCCATCTCTGGCTGGCTACTCTCCACATCCCCACCCTTTCTTGCTCCCAGGGTCTTTTCTGCCCTGAAAATCCTGCCTAGCTATTGGCCCATTCAGCTTTTTATTAAACCAATCTGAGTGACACATCTTCACAGTGTACAAAAAGATTATCCCACAACACCAGAGGATCAGGGAATTTGCTGTGAGATTGTGTCTCCTAGTAATGTCAGAAGTCACACCCATAAAAATCTCACCAATGTGACTGCCTAAAGACAAGCTGAACAAGGACAACACGATAGGCATGCTAAAGTGGATGGGGAAAGACCATGGGGCCTCATCCTATGCAAAGAGCTACAGGCAACTAAGGAATGATGGGGTAGGAGAAATAGTCTTCTCCAGGGAGGAGCACACCAATTGTTATACAATAACAAATGGTGAGCTCTGAAGACATATACCTACAGGTAACACTATACAGGCTGAACAGGTTATATTTAGGAATACACACACACACACACACACACACACACACACACACACACACACCCCTATACATATATGCATGCAACAACAATTAATGAAAAAGAAGGCCAGGAATTTGAAAGTGAGAAAGGAGGGGCATATGGGAAGGTTTGGAGGGAGGGAAGGGAAAGGAGAAGTGATATCATTATAGTCAAAGACAGAAGGAAAAAAATCATTAAACAAAGGCCTGGAATTAGTATAGATATATATGTCCAATAATTTTGGAAGTGGGCGTAAAGATACTTCTGCCATTTTGTGTTAAGCATTTATGTGAGGTGGAGTTCTCAGTGTTAATGGTTCTAAAATCAAAGTGCAGGAGCCAGAGTGACGGCTCAGTGTTTAAGAGTGCTGCTCTTCCAGAAGTTGTAGACTGCTCACAACTGCCTGTAACATCAGATGTGATGGGGCCTTCTGGCCTCCATGGGCACCTGTACACATAGCACACACACACACACACACACACACACACACACACACACACACACACACTAAAATACCTAAAAAACCCATTCATTGATCAACTAAAAAAGTGTTAAAAATACTCTACATTCTGAAGTGTCAAATACTCAGTCAAGATTTAATTTTTTGATTGCTTTTTGCAGCACTAGGGTCTCAACACATGCCAGACAAGTGCGCTGCCACTGAACTGTATCCCCAGCCCAAGATTTAGCTCTTTATGTAAAAATAGCAAGATCATCCATTTCATTGATATGCAAATGTACTTCAATTTTTAGTAAGTGGTAAGATTACATGTATACCAAAGAAGTGTTTTAAAATAAATTCCTCCATAATTTATTATTAGTGAATGTCTGGCTTTGATGACTATTTTGCATATCTCTATACACACAGTCATATAATGATTACTCAGCCAAGCAAGTGATGGCTGAGGGTCAGCCCTAAACAAGACATTTACACCGGTCCCTCTGAGGCTCAGGGAACGCTGCAGAAGAGGGGGTGGAGTATGTAAGAATGGAAAGATAGGGTGAAGGGTTTGGAAATGCCATGCCCTAGACTCTGCAGGAGCTTTGTGACTACCAACTCAGACTTCAGTTACCTGCACCCAGGCCGCACAAGGCTGGCACTTTCAACAATCAGTCCTGGCTGAGAAGGGGCTCGTGTGATAGATTCTGCGAGACAGGGAACCATTATCTTTAGTCGTGTGACCGCTGCCGTGCCCGCTGGGCTCCAACGGTTAGCTCCAAACCCATGGCCACACAGATGGCCCTGGTTTAAATTTCAGTGGGTCACAAAACAAAATGAATAGACATGAACACGAGAAAGAGATCTGTAGAGAACAGGGGAGGTAGGTGGGTGTTGGGGAGATTGGAGAGGGTGGGTTGAGCGTGGTCAGTGTGCATTTGGTTCAGATGTGAAATCATCAAAGGAAAAAAAATCAATTAATAAAAAAAAAAAAAACGGTCAAAAGAATTTCCAGCTGAAGAGGGATGAGAAGTGGAGAAGGGTTAAGAAGTTCTGCTCGACACTGATCATGTCTCCTGTTCTTCAACACTTTCTTTTTCTTATCTGGTTGCATTATTACTCAGCTTCTCTGACAAGTTTATTTTTGGCCTGTTTCATGTGCTTGAGCTCTCTCCTCCTCTTCCCATTGCAGTTGGCAGATGCCCCCCAATTACCTTCACACTTGAACTTGTCCTCTGTGGCGGCGCTCTGCGGATCCTTCATCTCCAGGATACACGCTGTCAGTTCAGAAATACAAACGAACTGTCTTGGTCTTGTTTGGTGCCTTCCGTTTTGAACTCTCTCTCTTCCTCCCTTTTTAGCTCTTCAAGTAGCACTCCAAATTCTCCTATGACCTTAGAGTTTTTTTGGGGGAGGACAACCTAAGTCGTGTTGGACAAGTCTGTTCCTCAGGTCTGCCGCAGAACTGAATTTGAAAAGAGCTTGCTTATGTATGTGGGAGGAAGCGGGAGAAACCCATGGGCGAAGACAGTGTGGTGGTGAGCACCTGTAGCCTTATCACTGGGCGAGGTGGAGGCAGGAGGATGAGGAATCTGAGCATAGCCTGGGTGACATAGACCCTATCTCAGAAATCACAATAACAATATCCCCCCCCAAATGAATGAGAGTTGAAAATTCATTCAGCATTTATATGTTGAACAGAAACAATTTTGGAAGACCTTAGCCCCAGTGCCTATCAGTGGTTAACTGATGTGTGTGTGTGTGTGTGTGTGTGTGTGTGTGTGTGTGAC